TTGATATGTTGCTAGTGTAAATTGTATCTCCTTTTAAAGACTTGATCCTACTAGTAAATATAGTTTGCATGCTTATGAAGGTTGAGTTGGTAAAGAATTGTATCTCATATTGTCGTGCTTGTTCCCACAATTATCTAAATGTTGCATTTTTGGTTATTAGGAAGAATGCTCACTATCAGGACTAGGCAGTTTAATGTAACATGTCGGGAGAACCAACTAATTTATCCTTTGATTGGATGTGGTTTAAATATGTCTAGAATTCATATATATATGAACATGATAATTAATGTGAAAAGGAGTTTTGCTATTTGTAAATAAAGAATGACAGTCTTATCACATGATTAGTCGTAGTGTTATTTTTAAACTTCTTATTGTGTTATGAACATCCTTTTAGTTTTCCTCAAATGATGTATGACCTTAGTTTCTATTGTATTGTAGGAATATCATATGTGAATTGAATATTATGATCACAATAGATGATTGAGGATTATTTTCCAAAACTGATAAGCTTTAGAATGTCTTAGTCTTGCTAAATTGAATAAATGAAAATTCCCTATAAAGTAGTAATCACTTTAAGTGATTTAAATTAAGGTTGTGTAGTTAAGATCCTTTACAAGTTGGGTTAAGGTGCTCTTAATTGGCTTTACCCTAAGTGGGGGTTTGTTTTTGAGTAGTGAGGTTGTCAAAATTGTGTACATTGTCCTTCTATTTTTATTTGAATTGGAAAATAATGAATTCTTAGTAAGCTTATTGATGAATATAGTCTTGCATAAAGTTTGAATTGCATGACATTTATATGATTGGTAAGAATTGATTGACATCATCTTGGAGACATGGTGAATTTTCCAAAGGGCATGAAAGGAAATTTTTGATAATGTCCATGTTTTCTCATGTTGAATTACATCTTGATATGCTAGTTGTGCATTTGACATCATGAGATAAGACAAGAAACTTGTTTTTGTCACTTGTGAGGTGGAATGTTTAGCCTTAAAGTTAAAAGTAGTCTCTCTAAAATGAATTATGTTGAGTCTCTTGAAAACTATGTGGCTCGTATGATTTGGAATGCATAAGTGTAGGCACATTCTTTAAAAGTGAAATCATCTTTAGCTAAGTGTCCATGTGTGTTCCTATAATTTTTGTTATTTTTTCAAAATCGGGCTTACTATAATGGTGAGTATTATAATAAGAAAAGAAGATTTTAGCGCTTCCTATTTTTTGTAATGTACATTGTGTGACTTACCAGCTAGACTTCACTAGAAAGGAACCATGAAAATGTCTTGGTTAAAAGTTGAGAATTTCTCATTTTTAGAGAAATTTGACCTTGTACTTTACATGGTGTGTAACTCATGATACATGTAAGTGTTTTGAGTAGAATTACATTCCTCCATTGACACCACTATGTATGGTATGATTAAGTATGACCTTGATTTAATAAGGTCTAACTAATGAAGATCTTTGTGATTTAACTAACTGAAGTTTATGTGCATTGAATTATATGTACTTAATGAATTTTTAATATGGATTATGATATGCCTATGAGTAGCTTTTAAAGATTTTACTTTAATGAATTGAGATGTAATGATAATGGTATGATAAGGAGAAGGATGTTCTCCTATGAACATGAAAAGGACCTTTGCGTTTGATGCATCAGAGAGTAAGTGAGTAATGGTTTTGCTTGCTTGTGTGCATTGTGTGCTAAAATGATTTGATGATATTTTAATTGTTAGAAACTGCTATTAAATGCATTGAAGTCATTTTTATGATGAAACATATCTAAGTTTCATTCGAGGGCGAATGTTCCCATGTGGGGGATATTGTAAGACCCCGAAAATTAGATAAGGTGTCTAGAGAATAACATACTTTAAGAAAAATTAGATAAGGTGTCTAGAGACTAACACATCTTTATTAAATTTATAATGTCCTAAATATTCTTACAATATAGTGTATAGTGTGACGTCCCGCCATCCACCAAGGCAGAACGCCACCCGGCTAGGCAGCTAGCAGCATGTGCCAAGGGACAGGCAGTCCAAACCGGCCAGCAGACAAAGAGGCAGGCAGCAGGTTGAGGGCAAGCCATTTCAGCAGTTACAGCTGTTACAGAAGTTACAGCCGTTACAGAAGTTACAATAGGTAGTGGGGCGGAAGTTTCAAGTCTTGGAGAGGATTGTTCAAGGCCTCTAGACGTTGGCGCAGACTAGGAGCAAATAGGAGTCCTTTTTGGAAGACTTAGAAACATGTCTTCTGGGCATGAACTTAGGAACTTGTATAGTGTAGCATTTACTTACTCTTAGGCATTAGAGTAGTTTAAATAGTAGTTTATTTTACTTGTAAAGCATCCAATAATTTCAGCAAGTAATAGAAGTTCCTTCTTCCAAAATTCTGTCTTACTTCTTATTTTCTTAGCGATCCGAGTGAGAGGCTTACTTGAGTTTGCAAGAACGTGCAAGAATCGTGAGTAAACCCTCAAGTCCCGCACGGAGTCTTGTTCGAATCAAAAAGTCCGTGACAAGTGGTATTAGAGCAGGTTCATCGTAAGAGAATGACGAACGTAGGAGACGGTAGCGGCGCTAGCAACACCCCCAACGTTCAGGGAAGAAAGAAGAACAAGAAAGGGAAGAACTAGAAGAAGGTTAATGAACCAAATCTGCCCGATCCTCCACAAGACGATCCTCCACCTAGCGATCCTTCACCAAGTGATCCTACCCCAAGCGATGGACAAACATCTCTCCCGCCCACTATTGTCTATGGAAGTCACGAAGACGATGGCGAAGATGCCATAGACGTTACTGTTTGACATGAGTGGATTGCAAGCGTCGAGATGCCAAGGCAAGCTGTTGAGATCTTAGGCAAGCACTTGAATGGGTTGGACAGAAACGTCAAAGACCTTGAAGAACATTCCCTTGAGGAAATTGACACCATCCGGAAGGAGTTGGAGGTACGCAAGCGGACTGAATTAGCGATGAAGGAAACCATTACTTCCTTGGAGTTCAGGTTCTTCGACGCCCTTGGGGAGATTGAGACGTTGAAAAAAAGGTGGAATCTCTCTAGGAAGAAAGGGAGGTTGTTGCATCAACATCATTTGGCCAGGAAAGGGAGTCAAGAGTTGAGGTTCCCAAGCCACCAATATTCAAAGGTGTCTGCGATGCCTTAAAGGTGGGAAATTTCCTATGGCACTTGGAAAATTATTTCATGTGTAATTGGGTCAGGAGTGATGCAAACAAGATCAACACTTCTGTGTAGTATCTTTACGACGTAACCATGTTATTGTGGAAACGCAAAGATGCCGTAATTGTGAGGGGCACACCTACCATCGACACATGGGAACAATTCCTTGAACAATTTAAGAAATCTTTCTTCCCCAACAATGCTGTTTATAAAATGAAACGCAAACTCCAGGAGTTGAAGCAGACTGGAAGTATTCAGGCATATGTGAAAGAGTTCACAATTATGACCCTCCAAATTCCCCAACTCATGGAAGATAACATGCTGTTCACCTTCATGGACGGGATGCAGAATTAGACGAGGATCGAGTTAGAGCGGCGTCAAGTAAAAACCATTGATGAAGCTATCACTCAAGCCGAAACCTTGACAGATTTCAAACACGATCGTTTGGACAAGGCGAAGGGCAAGGAGGCTAGGGGCAGTCAAGCCAAAGGTGGGGAAGACCGTGGCCGAGGCAGAGACCAGTCGGCACATCCCAAACAGCAAGACACGCCCAAGCCGGATGGCAGATGGTTTGACCGCTAGAAATACTTGGAGAAGCGGACGCAGTCCAGCAAAGGAGACAGGTGCTATATATGCGGCGGACCACACGGTTATGCCAGGTGCTGAGAGATGAAGAGACTTGGTGCCATCATCCATGAGCGGAAGGAAAAGGAGGCACAAGACAAGGCGAAATCGGAAGACACAACTCAGTTGGGCATGGTTGAAATCTGTGGAGCCATAGCCAAATAGGCCGACAACCTAGGGGATTTCAGTATGCAATATGTGGATATCTCCATCAATGGGCAAAAAATTCGGGCCATGGTAGACATTGAGACTTAAGCAAACATCATGACCAAGACTGCGGCAGAAAAATTGAGACTTAAAATTGTTCCAAGCAACGATTGCCTCAAGATAGTCAATGCCCCACCAACTCCCGTATGTGGAATTTCTCATGGAGTCAGCATCACTTTAGGAAGGTGGAGAGGTAAGACGAAATTTACCGTAGCTCTTTTGGACATATCCGATGTTATTTTTGGACAAGAATTCTATCAGTGTTGCCACACGATGATTGATCCCTACCTTCAAAAACTCATGGTGATGGAAGGGAAAGGATCTTGCATGGTGCCTCTTGTTAAGGTGCCAAAGAAAAATGGGTATGCCCAACTATCGGCCATGCAGATTGTGAAGGGCCTGATGAAAGGAGCACCAACCTTCTTAGCCACAATTGCAAGTTCGGGTGAAGACCATGGTGATATGGAGCCATTGCCACCTATCATAGAAACTGTTTTGGAGGAAAACAGTGATGTGATACCGGAGGAGCTGCCGAAAACACTACATCCAAGGTGCTAGGTAGACCACATGATTGAGTTAATGGCGGGAGCCAAGCCACCTGCGCTTGCACCTTATCGCATGGCTCCGTTTGAGTTGGAGGAACTAAGGAAGCAGTTGAAAGAGCTCCTCGAAGCAGGTCACATTTATCCATCCAAGGCAACCTATGGGGCACCAGTGCGGTTCCAGAATAAGAAAGATGGGTCGATGCTTCTATGCATTGAGTACAGGGCACTCAACAAGATCCCAATTAGGAACAAGTATCCAATCCCGCTGATCGCAGATTTATTTGATCGTCTTTGAGAGACCAAGTACTTCACCAAGATGGATCTCCGGAAAGGCTACTATCAAGTGCGCATCGCAGAGGGGATGAATCAAAGACAGCATGCGTAACCAGGTATGGAGCATTCTAATGGTTGGTGATTCCTTTCGGCTTAACCGACGCACCTGCGACCTTTTGCACGCTGATGAAGGAGATCCTACATCCCTACTTGGACCAGTTCGTAGTAGTATACTTAGATGACATAGTCGTCTACAGTAGCACTTTGGAGGAACATGTGGAGCACTTGAAGAAAGTCTTCAAAGTTCTGCAGGAGAATCAGCTTTATGTCAAGCGGGAGAAGTGCGAGTTGGCCCATCCCAAGATACACTTCTTGGGCCATTTGATCATCCAAGGCAAACTTCAGATGGATGAGGCAAAGGTAAAGGCTATCCAAGATAGGGAAGCGCCTACGAAAGTGACCAAGCTACGTTCATTCATGGACTTTCTAATTATTGTCGCAGGTTCATTAGTGGGAACTCCACTATAGCTGCCCCACTGACCGAGCTGCTGAAAAAGAAAAGGCCATGGGAGTGGAGCGAGGAGTGCCAGGAAGCATTTGAAGGTCTTAAGGCTGCGTTATTAAAGAACCAGTCTTGATGCTGCCTGATTTTACAAAGACCTTTTTTTATCGATACGGATGCTTCGTATTTTGCCATTGGAGAAGTCTTGATGCAAGAGAAACACCCCATAGCATTTGAAAACTGGAAGTTTAATGAAGCTGAACGATGGTACACTGTGCAAGAAAAGGAGATGACGACCATTGTGCATTGTCTACACACATATAGACACTATCTACTAGGCTCCAAATTTGTAGTGAAAACCGACAATGTTTCCACTAGCTATTTTCACCCGCAGAAGAAGATCAAACCAAAGCTGGCTCGTTGGCAGGATTTCTTGGCAGAGTTTGATTACATCTTGGAGTACAAAGCAGGAAGGGCAATGTAGTGGCCGATGCATTGAGCAGGAAGACTGATCCAGCGGCCATCTCCTCAGTTCGTAGTGAATTCCAAGGCGCTATCAAAGATGGTATGCAACGCGATCCGGACGCTAAGAAGATAATGAAACTGGTTGCTCTAGGCCAAACCAAACAGTTTTGGGAAGAAGATGGATTCTTGCTTACCACTGGCCGAAGAGTTTATGTACCCAAGTTCGGATTCATCAGGAGGCGTATTATCAATGAAAGCCACGACACTCCGTGGGCTGGGCATCCATGGCAGAAGAGAACGAGGGCGTTGATTGAAGCCTTCTATTTCTGGCCACGAATGCTGGAAGAAATTTAGCAGTATGTGTAGACTTATCTTGTGTGCCAACAAGACAAGGTAGAGCAAAGGCAACCAGGAGGGCTGTTGGTGCCACTACCCGTAGTTGATCGTCCATGGGATAGTATATCTATGGATTTCATCACTTGTTTGCCGAAGTCAAACGGGTTTGGCACAATTATGGTCATAGTGGATAGATTCTCCAAATATACTACTTTCATGCCTGCCATAGCCGGTTGTGCTGCTAAGGAAGCTGCAAAATTGTTCTTCAAAAATGTTGTGAAGTATTGGGGGCTGCCGAGGTTCATCATTAGTGATCGGGATCCTCGTTTCAGTGCAAACTTTTGGAGTGAACTCTTTGTCATTCTTGGTTCAAAACTTCCCTTTTCCACCAGTTTTCACCCCCAAACTGACGGCCAAACTGAACGCGTCAACGCCTTGTTAGAGTGCTATCTTAGGCACTATGTCAGTGCGCACCACAACGATTGGGCTAAGCTCCTTGATATGGTGCAATTTTCGTATAATTTGCAGAGGAGTGAATCTACAAGGCACACACCGTTCGAGTTGGCAACAGGCCAGCAACCCCAAACTCTGCACTCACTGCCAACCTTATTTGAGGGGATGATTTTGGGCGCTTTCAATCTTGCCAAGGGTTGGGAAGAACAATTCCACCTTGCCAAATCTTACTTGGATAAGGCGGCAAGAAGGATGAATAAGTTCGCCGACCGCAAGAGTCGTCCCACCAACTAAAAAAAGGCGATATGGTCTTGGTAATGTTTAATCCGAGGAACTTTAAGGAACTAAGAGGCGTACATCACAACTTGGTGCGGAAATATGAGGGTCCGTTCAAAATTGTTGCCAAGGTGGGTAAGATCTCATACAAGTTGGAGTTGTCTCCACACTTGAGGATCCACCCGGTCTTTCATACAAGCGTTCTTAAGTTATATCATGAAGATAAGGACGATCCCAACCGGAATAAATCACAACGGGCCCCTATCACTGTTACTGCCTCGCATGATCAAGAAATGGAAACTATAATAGATTACCAAGCCAAGCAGAAACGAGGACAGCAGGCTAGTGCTATGTTTCTCGTACATTGGAAGCGATAGACTCCTGAAGAGGCCACTTGGGAGAAGTACGAAGACTTGCAGCAGTTCAAAGAAAAAATTCAGGAGTTCTTTTCAGCAATGCATCGCGGCCGCCGCATCATTAGGTGGGGGAGATTGTGACGTCCCACCATCCACCCAGGCAGAAGGCCACCCGTCTAAGCAGCTAGCAACATGCGCCAAGGGACAAGCAGTCCAAATCGGCCAGGAGACAAAGGGGCAGGCAGCAGCTTCAGCAGTTAAAGCTGTTACAGCTGTTACAGCCGTTACATCACTTACAGCAGGTAGTGGGGCGGCAGTTTCAAGTCTTGGAGAGGCTTGTTCAAGGCCTCTAGACGTTGGGGCAGACTAGGAGCAGCTAGGAGTCCTTTTGGAAGACTTAGAAACATGTCTTGTGGGCATGAACTTAGGAACTTGTATAATGTAGCATTTACATACCTTAGGCATTTGAGTAGTATAAATAGTAGTTTATTTTACTTGTAAAGCATCCAATAATTTCAGCAAGTAATAGAAGCTCCTTCTTCCAAAATTTTGTCTTACTTCTTATTTTCTTAGCGATCCGAGTGAGAGGCTTACTTGGGTTTCCAAGAACGTGCAAGAATCGTGAGTAAACCGTCAAGTGCCGCACGGAGTCTTTTCCGAATCAAAAAGTCCGTCATATGTATAGACTATCTAAAATATTAGAGTTGTTGGAAGATGAATTTTAAGGGACGAATAAGACGTTTGACGACTAAGTCACCTAGATGCCCAATATGTGGTAATATGTGTTTATTGATGTCTATTGATGTAATAAGGTTCTAAAATGTCTTATTATATTTTTAGAGTCACTTTAAAGTGCTTTAAGTGATTTGGAAGTCGAACGTCAAGGGACGACAAAGACATTCAACGACTAGTTGCATATGTGCCTCATGTGTCTTTGCATGCATTAGTCTATATAAAATGAGACCAAAAAGTAATAAAATTATCTAAAATGGTGTTTAATATTGTTTTATGAAGTTTAGTGATGTTTGGACCTCAAACGACCAATAACGTCCAAGGCTTTCGAAATATAGCCCATAAGACTTTCATCGTATGTCATGTTAAGGCAAAGTCTATTTGGACGTCTTCTAGGTGTTTGTTTTGGATGAAATTTAAGTTTAAGTTCTATAACTTTTTAAGGGTTATAATCACATTGTAAACGTTCGGGCATGACTTCTAAAGGTCCCAACAAGAGGCCCCAAAAAATGGACCCAAAGCAGACTAAGACACTGCATGGTCATTGTCCATTGACGGACCCAACGACGGAATGTTTGTCCACTAAAGGTCCGTAGAGAAGGTCTTATTGATGGGTAATTTACTTGAGAAGGTATAAGTCAATATTTGGCAAAGTACCCAATGACGTAGGCCATGCATTGCCCGTCAAGGCCTCGATGCCCTATCACTGTCATCGTCGCATGTCGCCTCAACTAGCTGCTTGCGTCTTTTTCATTGAAGGGGTGAATGGCAAAATTCACCACACGTCCTAATCTTACTATAATGGGTTTATTTAGATTTTTTTGGTGTATATAAGTCATAAAAAACGTGATCACCCCATTCTAGAATCCTCTTAGTAGATTGAAATATTTCCCTCCACAAATACCCTCTCTAGAAACAACCATTGTTGGTGAAGATCAAGAACATATTCAAGATGGGTTTTCCATTGATATATCATTAAGTTTAAGAGTTTTTCAACTAGACCAAGGTATGGTGATCTTCATCTCTAGCTATTTTCTCATCTAGAGCGTCATTCTCTAACATTTCAAAAGAGAAAAAATATGATCAAATACTTTTTTCATCAATCTTCCAATGGTTCTTTCCGAAGAAGGTTTTAAAAGATTGAATCATGATTAATTAAAGTTAATACAGTGGTTTTAACGTGAAATTTAATCCAATTGCATGATTAACCTATGCTGTATCACCAAAACTATTTAGCCTTGCCTGGGCCTCATGATTTTTGTTTGATATTGATTGAATTATGAATCTATTACATTTAAGTTAATGTATATTCTGTCATTTAAATTAATTTACGTTGAATTGATGTTGAAGGATCCATGAGGATCAATTTATGAAGATTTGAACATGAATAGGCTATGTTTCTACATGTTGACTTAAAGTAGATTGGGAGATCGGTTGTGTAATGTTTTGATTATGCATGAACTGTTGTATATTTTTTTAGGGTGATAAAACGGATAAATTTTTTAGGTATAAATCCTTAATGAACAATCTCAGAAAGTCTTGCATTAATTGATCTAGATTCTTTTAGGCTATGAAGTCAAGTGTGTGATTAATCTCGAATTGTGATTAGATGAAGCATTATTTTTTATTAATTCTTATCTAATTAGCTACTGCCTAATGTGTGTATTGTTGATAAAATGTGAATAATGATCAAAGCCTTAGAGAGTTCATAGTATTGGTAAATTCTTCTAGTCTCTAGCAAATGAATAAGGCTAAATGCCTACGTTGTACCCTTAATCTTTAGGGTATGTAATTATAATTTCAGTATGGTTCAATGTAGGTTTTTATAATGCCCTTGACTCATATTATGTATGAAACATGATCTAAATCAATTCAAGGGAAATTATCTAATAATCTATGTTATTCTACTTTCCTAGTAAGTTGATTTGTTGTATTATGATATAGTATAATCTTGTAGCGTACATGGTTTATAAATTTACTTTTCTGCTTCTCTATTTCTTTATAGTAATGTTAATAAATACTTGTATAGCATGGTTTTGTATGGTCCACTTATGATGGAAGTGTTTACTTTATTTTCATTATATAAGTGTTGACCATGGCCTCGAAGGTATTGATGAATATATGATTTAGATATTTAGATGATCACCTTATGATGAATTTGTACCTATCTTCCTTGTTGTGATATAGGTTGTGTGGGTATTGTATGAGAATTTGTATATTCATGTTAGGATATTCTATAATTACTTACATTGATATGTAAAAATGGTTAATATCCCCTACCCATGTACCCTTTATACTTAAAGTGTAAATACGTAAAGTTAGGAGCCTTGGTTATAATGTTTATATAGTCTTGCCTCCTATGCTTTTATGTGTTGTGGTATTTTCATGGAAGTATAATGTGGTCTAAGAGGGTGGTTCCCTCAAGGAGTAATTTATTGACATTATGTGATCATGTTGACCAATGTAAACACACTCTCACTTACATAAATGTTACAAGTGTTATGTGTTATGGTTTCTAAGTGAAAGGTTTTTCTCATATTCACTAATCTCTACAACTATGCATGTTAAGTATATGTATGTGAACTATGTTATGTATTCCATACTAGAATGAATTGACAGTATGTTATGTATTCCATACTAGAATGAATTGACAGGTGTAATAGTATGTACAAGGGTATGGGGCTTTTCCTATGGATTGCACATGTTTACCTTGATATGATAGTTCTAGTTTTTGTTTCAATAATTATGAATATGTATGTATGAACTTGTGTGACTTAATGTGGTTATTAAAGGTTTGCTCACATATTTGAATACACAAACACTTATATGATGATCTATTCTAGAGAGGGTCCTTGAATGGTGTATCCATTTGTACCATAAACTAGATGATGCTTTACATATGCTATGCTAATGTGAATGGATTCTTTACATTATTTAGGTTGATGAAATTCCATCTATTACCTATAAGTTAAGCAAATGAGGCTATGACTCTCCTAAACCTATGGTTTATAAAGTAAAAATAAAAAAAAGGTTTTTAATAAAGGGAACTTAGCTTAGCACTGAGCGAACTTGAATATGAGTTTGTGTCCCTTTCCAATGTGGAATGGTAGGTCTACCATAAATCTCATTAGGTGGAAAGCCTCATATCCCAAGGGCATTGAGGGATTATTTTAAGATATCCTCCAAGTTCCATAATTATGT